GGGTCCACACCCCCAGCCCCCCTCCGAGGCCCAGGGTCCCAAGCCCAGGAAACCCTTTGGAGAACAGCCAGCCACTGCAATTTGAATGTCTCAAATGTCTGACGGCTAGAGTCTCCAAAGTGAAACTGTATGGATATAGAGGAACAGGGGGAAAATCAGGGAAAGCCAGGAGAAAGACGGATGATGTTGAAGTAAAGCCTCTGCTCCCTCTTCCCCTGGTTTTGCTCCTCTAACTTGGCCTCTAGGATAGGGGCCAAGAACCACCTGGAAACCATGTGTTCTGAGGACAGTATCTGGAGCACTGAGAGTAACTGTACCTAGAGCCGAGATGTCCCTTGCCCGGTCCTCTGCTGCCTCTTCCCAAACACAGTTCCTCACATGAGCCCTGAGGATGCAGACAGCTCCAGAGGAAGCTGGTAAAGAGCACCCCAGCTCTACCACAGTGGCATGTGACCTTTTCAGGCAGATGTGTCTCCCCACTGCCTGCACAGCTCCACATCTGGTTGCCTGGCGAAGTCTGTGTCTTGGGGGCCTGCCTGGGATCCTGAGACCCAAGCTGGCAGCACAGATGCATGAAGCCTGGGGAGGCTGCAAGGGTCACAGAGGCCAGCTGGCCCTCAGGCCCTTTGCTCTATCATCCTGCAGCTGCTTGCCTTAGGCAGCTGGATTCAAGCCACAGAGACATTTGTGGTAGTTACTGCCCCAAATACTCGCCGCTACCAGCCCATCCTAGGGCTCAACACTTAGAAGGTTCTACCCTCTCTGTCACAGCAAGGGGTACTTGGGCATTAGAGTTTGGGTCTTGACCCACCCTTTACTGGTCAATGACCAAAGCCTGTATCCTCACACAACCTCGGGCTGTTGGCATCAAAAAGATGAGGGGCACAAAGCATCCAGTGCTCTCCCTGCCTTCCAAAGCTTTTGACAAAAGTCAGAGCCTGGATTTCCAGCCTCCATCCATTTCCCCCTCCTCCTTGGCACTGTGCTCAGGCTCCTTCTTGCCACCCTCCCTGTTCCTAAGCTGGTGGTCCCCTCACGTGTGCTCCCATGGATGACCAGTGCCTGCCCACCAGCCTGGCAGTTCTGACCTGTTCCAGTCAAGATCCCAAGTAGGTCTTCCTAAGGTGAGAGGCATAGCATGGTAGGATGCCCACAAGGGAGGAAGGACAGGGCAGACCCCCCTCAGGGGGAGAGGCAGGGCTGCGGTTTTGCAGGCGGTGCTCACATGTGGCCACCAGGCCAAGCATTGCAGTCTCTCGCTCAGTACTCCTTTCTCATTTAGAAGGGCTCGGCAAGAAGGTTACAGGCAATTTTGATGGGACAGGGGGATACCTTTCTATGACAGAGTCCTCGAGCCCCACCTGGGTTGCCTCCCACATCCCTTTCCACCAGTTCTTGCTTCAGGAGAGACTAGGCACTCCCTGGATAGCCTGCTCTTGGGGGAGTGTCAAGATTACAGGGGTGACAACGGATGTGACAGATGGTGCTGGGGATAAAGCGGAGAAGGAGGGGTAAGTGACTGGCTGGGAAGAATGCCAGTGGGAGGCTGCCGTGATGCACGTTTCTTTCCTCTCCCCCTCACAGCTTCCCTCTCCCCAGGCTCTAAAGAGTCCCTCACCAGGAGGTCAGAGCCTACCTCATGAGACACAGACAGGAGAAGCAGAGCTGCTGGCCTTCAGAGATGGAAAGGGTCAGCCAGAGTCGAGGAGGGGCAGAGCAACAGTGAACGGAATCTGGCGGCCCAAGGAGGGCAAGAGGCAACAGAAACTCCTCAGAGGGCTGTCCTCCACATGCACATGCGGGAGATATCAACCTCCACCCCATGGCTGACCCCATGGTTGGGAGGGTCCAGCCAGGATGTCAAGGCTGCTAGACCTGTGGTGTGTACACTATACCCCATGTGAGGAAACAGGAAGCCAGCATACTTCAACCTCAAAATATGACTCCAAGTCAGGACAGTTCTCAGGCCCTCCAGGGCTGGTCTGACCACTGAGCTAGCCAGAGGGGCAGTGTAAACCTGCCACAGTTCCATCAGATCCTGGGGTCAGCGAGACACCAAAGCATATTTCCAAACATATCACAGACTGCAATTAGTCTTCCACAAACTCTTTGAAGAATCAGTATGGCTGTGCCCATCTTATAACAAGATAAAGAGAGAAATGATTTTCCCAAGATGATAAGCCAGGAAGGAAGAATGGAGTCCAAACTCTTAAATCCAGGCCAAACTCCACCCAAGGTCTCCACCCAAATTCAACACTGTCCAAGTCCTTCCAGGAGGCTGATGGCCCAAAGTATGGAGGGTGTGGGAGGTCTCCATCCCTCCAACTTAACCTGGCACAGTAACCCAGGTCCCTGAGCTCAGACCCTACACCCTTGCCTGAGTCAGTCCTCTCTCTGTGCCTTGGCCCACCCTGGGGATAACACCCAAACTCCTCACAGAAATGGTTCAAGAGCAAACATGGGGACGAGGGGAAGACCCATCCAGCCCACAGCCTGACAGCACAAGCAGGCCCCTTTGCTACTCCTCTGAGGACCAAATCAGAAGCCCTATAGAAAGTGCCAGAGAGGGAGAACACAATCTCTGCTGCTGTTTAACAGAGGGCCACCCTTCATGTCCACAGAGATGCCAAGTATTGTGTATTACTGCATCCTTACCATGTGCCAGACACAGCTCTAAGTACCTCACCTGGATTCTCTCACTGAATCCTCACAATAACCCTAGGAAAGAGGTAAAATTTGTATCCCACTAGACAATGGCAAACACTGAGGGGTTAAATAACTCGTCCAAGGTCATGTGGCCAACAAGTCGTGTTTAGGATCCCTACCAGGCTGTCTGATTCTGGTTACTCTACATACCTCTCCCACCTGCAGGATCAATTGTCAGAGCAACCTCTGGCTACAGACAAGGCCCAGACATAACTTTCTGGTCAGCTGGGCACAGAAAATGCACACAGACACACACAGAGACACTCAGCACTCACAGGTCTCTTGGCCTCCAGCTAATCAGCAGGTCTGCTGGGATTCAGGCGCTGCCCTCCTCTGGTACATAAATTCCAATTTACAGCACCAGGTGAAATAAACCTCTGAGTAGCCCAAGCTCTGAATCTGTTCCTCATGTATTTAAACTTACTTAACTGACACACAGCCCCCCTGCCCAATGGGAACAACACCTCAGTCTAGAAATTATGAAACCAAGAGCTCCGCTTTAATTATGCATATTTCCAAAGTAGACTAACAAATGTATTTTCAGATTAAGGGGGAAATTTACATATATAAATTCAGATGACAGTATTTATAGCATTAATTACATAAGTCCTGTCTCCCTTATTTAGTCCAGAGCCAATTCGTTATCGTTCCCATATTCAGAATTTCTCCCCCCGCCCCCAACAGCCCCGGGCCCTCTTTCCCCCCCTTCCCCCTCCTCCTCCTTCCAGCCGACCAGGGCCTCACATACTGGCAAGAGGACACAGCTTCCTTCACTGTCACCGCCTAGCCTCCCTGACACACCCAGATCCAGCCTTAGACACCAGGGGACGTGCAGACACAACCCCCAAAAGGCCTCACAGGGTGAATTAGAAAAACCTTTAGTAAGTTGGCTATCGGCAGGCTCAGGTCCAGAGAGACCCCTGCAGGGACCACCGGGGACGTCAGCCCCGCAGAAGGCGGACCTGGACTGGGGCCCAAACAAACGCCCACTGGGCCGAATCTGGAATCGCTCCAGTTCCCGGGAATGGCTGCCGCAGACCAGACCACTGAGGCCTGACCTGCCTCGGAGTCGCACCCAGGACCCCGGCGAGGGAGGGGGCGGAGGGGAGCAGGGAGGAAGGAAAGCAGGCCCAGGGTCTTCAGGACTCAAGTCTGCAGCTGCCCTGAGCTCGTCGGGAAGACTCCCTCGGATCCCCAGGGCTCCATCCTCACCGGTCGCACCTATCCAACAGCACCTGCGCGGCTGGGAATGTCCCCAACTGTGCAGAAACAAACACGCAGAGCGATGGGGGTCGGAAGTATCCAGGATCCTCCCCCTGTGGCCCCCGGGGCCCCAGCTTGTCTTCGCACCTGCCCGGAGCCAGGC